GTGGAGACCAGACTGAAGGAAACACTAACTGAGTTGTTGGAACTTAGTAAGTATTGCTTTACCAAATATACTTCAATTCTTCATAGTTTTATCTCAAAATCCACATTTTTGTATTATTTTTTGAACAATTTTCTACAGTGGGTATATAGCACCAGAATATGCCGTTGATGGGTTTTTTTCAGTAAAATCAGATGTCTTTAGCTTTGGTGTATTGTTGATGGAGATAGTAAGTGGGACTAAAAATAGAGGAATTTTTCATTCAGATAATAGGGTTAACCTCATTGGACATGTAAGTGTACTCAATCATTCTTTTGCTTCCTATGTATTCTTTTGAAATGAAAAATGATGCGAAGGCTTTAATATGCTGTAGGCATGGGGCTTATGGAAAGGAGGCAACCCTTTAGAACTTGTTGATCAATTCTTAGGAGTCTTACTCTCGATCAGAGGTTGCAAGATGCATCCATATCAATCTTTTATGTGTACAACAGACTCCTGAGGACAGGCCAACCATGTCATCTGTGTTGCTTATGTTGGGAAGTGAGATAGAATTGCCTGAGCCCAAAGAACCTGGTTTCTTGCTTGAAAAAGACTTCACTTGAAACAGATTCTTCATTGAGCAAGCATAACTTGATGTCTGTAAACAATCTTACCATCTCAGTCTTGCAGGCTCGATGATAATCAATTATCCGTCAATAGAGGATTACATAGTTATGTCCGTACATTTTGTACCTTATGTTTCTGTAATTTCAAACCTAATGAACCTTAAGACATTTGAATCCCAATGCAAAAACATATATACCCTTAAATTCAGATATACTAATTTTGTTCACAAAGTCAGAAATTCTAATAACAGATTATGAAAATTCAATTCCAATAGCCTTGTTCCATGTTTAATATGAACATGGGGACTTCTATCACCTAGAGCAGGCCAGGGACGGAACTTTTGGGTGGGGACCCTGATATTTAATGCCAAGCACAAACTACTGGCATACAGAAGATTGAGTAGAGATTTGCCAGAGACATCAAGAAAGGATTGGTTTTTGGTACAACAAATCAGCTGAATATAGTATCAATTCTTCTAAGTTAAAC